TGCGGCGCGTGGGGGAGGACGAGCCGACGAACTCGAACTGCTTCTGCCGCTCGGCGTTGTTGGGGAAGGGCAGCTGCCCGCGGTACAGGCGCTTGATGAAGTGGGCTTCCCGCTGGTTCTGGCGGCTGCGGGAGGCTTTGCGGGGCCGGCCCTTGCGGGTGAAGGCCATGTACCAGCCCTCGTAGCGGGCGTTTTGGAAAGCCGTGTAGTTGTTCTCCAGCACGATCTCCGTGAAGATGCAGTCCTTGCTCTTGCCGTTGGGCTGCGGGAGGAGGAGAGGGGCGCTTAGCACCCACAGGGATGGGGCTGGGCGCTTGGGGATGGGACCCAAAAGGTGCTGCCACCCCCCTGCCACTGCCCAGTCCACCCCATCCCTGCCACGTTCACTGTGGCACCGACCCCAATGCACCGGGACCAGCTCCCTGGGGGCTTCTCCTTGCAGGAGCCGGGCTGAGCAGCACGGTGCTGATGGAGGAGAGGGGGGACCGGCAGCTTCTGGGGGAGCAGGGAGAACCCCCCACTGCACCAACACAGCCCCTGTGACTGGGGACACGGGGACCAGCCTGGCCGAGCATCCCGGCTCCAGCTGCTCAGGGGGGTGCCCGGGCTGAGCTCCGGGGACCGGGGACACGCGGAGGGCAAGCGCAGGGGGGCTGGGACTCACTTTCCCGATGAGCTTGCCCCGCTTGCTCATGCAGATGTACTTCTCGCTCTCAGCCCCCTTGATGCGGACGCGGCTCCCGAAGGTGTCCGTCTCCACGATGAGCTTGGCTGCGAGGAAGGGAGCAAGGGGGAAGTGTCCCAACGGGGGCTGCGGCACCCCCCCACGGGCTACTGGCATCCAAACCACCCCAGTCTCCTTCTCCCTGCCTCCATCTCGCCCCCCGGCATCCCTCCCTTCCCTTCCTGCCCATCGCCGGTGGGGCCAGGAGGACGGCCAGCCCCCGCAGCCGGGGCAGGGCAGCCCTTGCCGGGGGATGCTCCCCAGCCATGATGCTAAAGGGCCTTTGTTAAAACCCAGCAGAGTCAAACCGGGCGTTTGATGAAGGCGCCGGGGAGAGCAACGGCCCCTTCCTCCCCCCCCTCCCCGGCACATCCGCATTGTCGGTGATTCAATGGGGTCTCCCCTCCAGGGCTAGACCGAGTCCAGCACCCGGCGGGTTAATTATCCTCATCCTCATTGTTTCTCTACAACACAGCGGTGGCTGCAAAGGTTGGGAGCCGACACTGAAACCAATGACCCCGGCGGGTCCTGCGCTCCCAACAGCCCGCGCCTGAGCTGGCAGGGAGAATTCAGGGAAAGACCTGGAAAGGTGGTGAGTCAGCCTCGCTGGTCACCCGGCTTTGAAAAGCCTTTCCCGAAGCTTTTAGATGCTGGGGATGCCAGCCTGGCCTTTGCGGGGCTGCGATGCCCATCAGCACTGGCGTCAGGGCTGGGGCTCCCCAGCAAACCCCCCCCGGGGAAAGGTGATGCAGCCGGGGTGGGCTCTGCCCCGGGTGGGCTGCCCGCGCTGCCCGCCATGAATGGATATTTAAGAGGCTGATGCCGGGATCGGGTGATTCTCCTCCAGGAAAAGTTTCCTGTCTCACGCCAGGAAGATATTAGAAAGCACATGCCCTAAACGTAGGGCTTATAAATGCTGCATGGTATCAGAGAAATGCATGATTTTGGAAGTTTTGAGGTCAGGGCTGGCTGGTTGGGAGCCGTGCTCTCACGGGAGTTATTTGGGGGATTTTTGGGTATAAAACCAGCCAGCTGGGACAACTAGAACCTCCCTGCACCCCCTATTTCCCCTGCAAAACTCCTCTGGGAAGAGACATTTCCCGGGCCTTTTCCAGCCCTCCCATGAGCACGTCTGTCCCAGGCTGCGGGTACACCCCTCCGGGGAGCCGCCGGCCCCTTACCGAACTTGTTGCCGTCCTCGGCGGTGGCGGTGATCCTTTTGCCATTCACCTGGACGTGCTTGCCACTGGTCCGGCTGTAGAGCTGGTACTCCCTGATCTGCCGTCGGCTCAGCTGGTCGGTCATGGCACCCTGGTCCCTCACGTACTGGTTAAAATTAGGAGACGGTTGATTCTCCCCCTTTGTTTACAAAGGGAAAAATAAAATCAATTTGTTTTGGACAGCCGACGGCAAGGGGACGGAGCGGGGAGCCCGGCGGGGCGGGAGGGCTGGGGCTGGCCCCCGGTGACACGGAGATCCACCCGCCACCCCCATCTGCGGGCGAGGGAGAGCTCCCAGCCATCACCAGCCAAGCTGGTCCCCTTTGAGCAGCGATGAAGGCGCCGAGCAGATGCTTTGGACCCGCGAGCCACTCGCATCGTGGGCAGGGAGAGGCAGAGGTGTTGCTTTGCGACCCACGCATGAGGAGGATGCAGGGTCTCGCAGGGAAGGATGCTTTCCGCCGGGCACAGCTGACCGTTCCCTCGGGAGCGGGGTCGAGCTGCTGCTCCCAGCCATGCCCTGGGGCCAGACGGACACTCAGCAGCACCTCCCGCTCAGGCAGCACCCTCTGCTCCCAGGCAGGTACCGAGGACAGGCTGGGATGCAAGGGCTGTGCTTGCAAAACATCCACTGGGTCCCTCATGGGGGGGTGAGCCCCACCTAAAGCCGGGCTGGGTGTCCCGGGAGCAGAGCCTTCCCCTCCCCGTCCACCCTGAGCATGCACCGGCCCTGGGGCCAGGGGAATAAAACACCTTGCAGACCCCAACCAGCTCCGTGGCTTACGCTAACGGTGCAGCACAAACACACGAGGGTTATTGTACGGTAAACGGCAGCTAATTACTGCGGATGCGCTGGGGAGGGGGGGGTTAAGTGCTGGCAGTCAGCCCCCGTCCCCGCACCGGACTCCGGCCAGCGCCTCTCAACATACATCTTAAGAGAAGACTTGGTTTAATCCCGGTGCAAGTGGGAAGCCAGGGCTCAGGGCAGCACCGCGGCCGGCTGAGCTGCCCAAGAGACACCGGCCCCGGCTGAGCCGGCCCAAAAACCGGCTCCAAAAGGGCTGTGGGCAGGGGGACGCGCTCCGGGAGCTCAACCCACGGGGAGACCCAGGGAGTGTTTGGGGTCTGGCTGCCCAGTTCGGGGTGCGCAGCATCACCCGGGTGCACGGGACCTGCTGCCCCGCATCCCCCGGGCTGCAGCATCGCCTCGCTGGGCGTGAAGCCTGGCACGAGGGGATCCGGCCCTGCCCGCTCCCGCGGGGAGGG